ATAGAATAGCAGGAGTAAAAGATAGCAGTATAATTCAGTAAGAACTTGCAAAAGCCTTAAAGAGTAACTAGACCCCACTATTTTCAGCTAACTCCACCCCTGGCACAATTTGAAAAATGCTCAAAAATGGGTGGGGAACGCTGGGCTGCTGTGTTTTCAGAGGTAGGGTACATTAGCTCATTAGCTACCAGGAAATATGGAGAGTGACAGAATCAAACGGCACTTTTGTAACTGAGAGGTCTGATGAGGTTGAAGATTCCTCTCTACTACTATCCCCATCTTCGACAAGAGAAGGTGTTTCTGAAAATGCTGTGCATCTTGAACCTTAGAGTTGTTAACATAGCGCCAGAAAATGATTAGCAGCGAGCGGCAGAGGCATCAAAACGGTAGAACATTCTCTAAAACCGTGACATCCAGGTTTTAATTATCTGTTCAGCAGATCCATAGACGATATAACTCGAGTCCTGATTTCTTCGATATACTGAATTCCGAGTGAGTAAAGTGGATTTCTTTGAACACTGTCGAAGTTTGACAGCAAGGTCGCAGACTGCATCACCGGTCATCCAGGGTTTGCTGCAGTGGCCTTAAATCCTTACGTTCTGCGAGCTGTTCATGGCACTTACCGGTGTTAACGTTACATCTGATTCAGTAAATTCACGTTCCCCTGTGTAAACCAGACCCTCGGTCGCGCGCACTCACTGAACAAAAATCAACCGCAAGTTCCAGTGTTCCAGTGTTGAACATTACCAATCTTTATTACAAACTAAGCTCAGATTAATTTGGTTATTTACAGTTGGTACAGGCAGCTGGCATATCGCAGCCTTGTGAGGTTGTGCTGGGGGTATTTAGCTCAGCGCGCGAGTATGGTTACCTCCTCCTTCTAAGCTCATGTGCTATCATATTTATGAGTGCGGCACGTGAAGGGCATCATCAGAGGGTGGTAACGTTGATTGACTCATTTGCATACTTCGGTATCAAGACACTCTCGAACAGGAGTTAAACCACCAGAATTAGGATTTCAGTATGAAGTGGAGCTGAGTAAAATACAGATTGTTTTATTCACACATATAAGCTACTAGAGTAACTGTCACTTGCATTTACTCCATACACCTTTTAGATACATGCAGCTGAGTAATGTAAACACTCTTACTGTAAAAAAAATGTAAACACTCACTGTAAAAAATGTAAACACTATACTAATTCTATACTAGGACCATATAAATTGGTATACTAATTATGTGATTAAAGAGCACATAGGCAGTACTACAAAAATAATTTTAGAACACTTCTAATGTATCTTTACAGTTCAGTTTGGCAGCACAGACTAGTATATTTACTTTATATCTGAGTGATGAAAATAACACGTGAGTGTACCTAACATACATAAAGGATGACTAAAACATATATCCAGTACACATTAGTAGTGATTTAGTACAAAGTAGTGGTTCCAAAATAGCTGCAGCATATAACTATTTAAGCACTGCTTAAGTGTATATCTTTTACAAGGGGAAGTGATGTTATAATTTTTCGAGTGTAAAATCTGCAACCTTGAATTCTCTTTGATGAAATTACTCTGACATTCTATTGATGGGACATGTTTTTTTCCCCTGTTAAGCTGCATTTGATGTAAAATTTTATCATAAAATTAACAACTAATTAGTACAAGTTGTTACCTTATATATGCTACTACTAGGCACCATGATTAGAAAACATGGCATCAGTTTCGACTGCTATGCCGATAATACACAATTGTATATTTCAGCTAAACCAGAGGACAAAATTGAACTTAATAAGATAGAAGACTGTGTAAAAGACATTAAAGGCTGGATGTCAAGTAACTTCCTCCTCCTAAACTCAGACAAAACAGAAGTTCTTCTTCTTGGTCCAAAATCTGCTAGGAATAATCTGCCTACAGTTACTCTTAATCTCAATAGTTTCTCAATTGCACCAGGCACATCTGTAAAAAGCCTTGGTGTCACAATTGATCCCAGTCTGGCCTTCGATGAGCATATTACCAATATTACCAGAATAGCTTTCCTCCACCTGCGTAACATCGCTAAATTAAGAAATGCACTGTCGCTACAGGATGCAGAAACGTTAGTTCACGCCTTTATCACGTCCAGTTTAGATTACTGTAATGCTCTGCTTTCTGGTTGTTCCAGCCAAAAACTTAATAAGCTTCAGTAAGTCCAGAACACTGCAACCAGAGTTTTCACCAAAACCAGGAAATTTGACCACATTAGCCCAATTTTGTGTACCTTACATTGGTTGCCAGTTAAATTCTGCATTGAGTACAAAATTCTTCTGCTGATGTATAAAGCTTTGAATGGCCTTGCTCCTCAGTACCTCAGTGACCTTATTTCCTACTATCAACCGACTTACATCACACTAGAATTAATAAAGTTATGTCAGGGGGAAGAGCCTTTTCATACATTGTCCCCCAGCTTTGGAATAGCCTACCAGTCTGTGTTCGGGACTCAGACACAGCCTCCATCTTTAAGTCTAGGCTAAAAACTTACCTGTTTAGTTGAGCCTTTGGTTAATTAGTTTTCCTGTTAGAAAAAGGCACAGATCTGGGAAAGAGAGTCCTATGGTAATCTGGGAATGTTGGTGCTGAACTAACTATCTGTACCCCCTTATTGCGAGCATTGTTATAAGCATACTTCAGTGAAGCATAGGCTTAACACATAAATAACATGTACTGTTTAGAAATACTTTGTTAAAGTATAGTTTTAGCCTAAAAGAAGCAGTTTATTTTAAGCACATTTTCACACAAATTTAGTCTTTTTGAAGTATACTTTACTGAAGCAAAGATTTAACACAGAAATAAATACTCCTTTTTGTTAAAGTAGACTTTCAGCATAAAATAAGCACAGTTCACTGTAAGCATAATTAGTGATTGCATTTATATTCTTCTCCTTCTTCTTCTTCTGCCTGATTTTTGTCCGCTAACATGTCCTGCAGTTTTTGAGATATCAACGCCATTCCAACTTTGAAATGTTCGGTCTGATCGGGAATGGTGTGCTTGTATACAGCTTTTTGACCCAATGTTTGTATGTTTTCATACAATCGTTGTTAAATAATAGGAATGAAAGGGGTAAAAAATTGCATGTCCATCTACTGTACTTCTGCTCAACTGAAAACTCTGTTTCACATATACTATCTCATGGCAGGCCCCCAAGCACAAGTTCAAAGTCGTTCTGACCCCCACTCATCTGTTTGTCATTTTTTCCTCATCCCTTGTTTCCCTTTCATTTTTGCTCCCACCCAAGCCAAGTTATTTCTTTGCCCGAGAGCCTCCAAACTAAATTTACTCACTCAGGGCAGGTTGCCAAACTTTAATCCACAGCCATACTGACTTGCACTCCTCTTTGTGATATTTTTCATCCCTCTTTCCTCCAGTAGACCCTTACTGATTTTTACAGTATCTAGCAACCACTTGGCAACCCACTTACAACCACTTGGTACACTCCCCTTATGCCATAGCAACTGCCTATTAACACCTTAGCAACCACTCTGCATTTTCTTCAGGAAGTACACACATTGCAAAAGTATAGTTTTATCATAAAATAAGCAAATATATTTTAATGAAATATATCATCAGTCAGGAGTAGGGCCACACCTCCAAAAGTTGTGTAAAAAAAAAAAACTAGCTGAGTGACGAAATGCAGGTAGGCCACTGACCTAATTCATGAAATGACCTTTCATGCTAATAGCATGACTCCATGAAATTATTCATGTCAGTGTTTGTCTTGACTACAGCTTCAGATAGTACTCTCCTGCTAACATCTCTGAAGAACATCAGGCAATTTTCCTACCCAGTTAATTTTCTAAAAGGCTATGTGCCAATTTTGCAGGGAAGCAAGCCCTTGGTTACTCTCACATTTGCGACCATGGAAATAGAAAAATAGAAAAATTCATTGCGCCGAATGTAGTTTAATTAGTTTATGATGTGAGCGACTTGAACTTGAAAGTGGTGGTTCGTCGCCCCAGTACTTTGAAATGTTGTGGGTCAAATATTCGCTCACCCCTGTGGTTCCAGCAGCGCTGGTTTACAAAGAAGTTTCCTTTTTTTGGCATGTTTTAAGAGTTTTGTGGGGACCTGACCATTTTGCAAATAAAGTGTCAGCAAGTTTCTGTTTAGTATTGTGTGTTAACTGTTTTGAAAAAAAAACAACTTCTGAATAGACAAAGTGTTCAAGCGACTGAGAAAAACTGCAGGTGTTTTGAAAATGTAAATGTGTGAGTGAAAATGTAAAAGAGTGAAACACTGACTGGTAAGGAGAGAATTGTTGTGGATTGTTTGCTCTGCCTTGTTCTGTGGCAAATTGGTTGTGACTGTTTTGGGAATAGACATGGAATGAGAGAGAGAATTAGATGGCAAGACTCCTATTCAGTCAATAAAAAGTGCACTTGCTGATGTCCTTTAAGTTCGTTCACCTGCTCCCACAGTACAGTAAAATATGCTAATTCTGTTTCAGGAATGTTTTCTGAGCAACTGAGGAAAAGTGGATCGTCAAGAAGTCCCTTCCCATCATGCTCATCTCTTTAGGCATTCTGATTCTGGTGCACATACATTTACAAACTCAAACTACCAGACTTTACACACTTATGTTTGGGTTACTAAACTAGATCCCATAATCCTTTGCACACTCCTATAATAAAACTGGAATTATTAAACATGACTATTCCTAATTCACAGTTTTATTATGTATTCACTGTGTCTTTCTGACGATTGATAAAGGCCATGCATAATATAAAAGGATGCTACATACATTTTTACAATTCTACAGTGTACAGTGACCCCAAAAAGTATTAGGACATTTACTTTAAGTTTTTTTGTGTTAAAACAAAATGTCAAAAGGCAGCAGGTGTATTTCAGGTTGTTATTGTTTGAGCAGTTTCTTTATAGATTTCTTCAGGTTTACACCCAAAGTGCCTTTGTGCACTTCTGAGTTCATGCTCCCAATCAATGAACACATAAGCAAACAGACGATGAATATTTTTCATATTGCATTTTATTTAAAAGTTTCAGTTATAAGCATAAAGGAATAAAAGCAAGTCATTCTACTCCATCAAAGACACCTATGAAAATAATCAAATCAGATGAATTTTTGGAGAGAGAAATTCAAAGCATTGTGATCATAGCTGGGGGCTTTGGTTAGGGTTAGGATTGTTTCTATGATGAACAGCGGATTCTCAGTGTAGTTTGTAGCTGTGTCTCCGGTGGATGTATCTTATATTTATGTATGTGTGTCCTACTTGCTTATGTGACACTTAGTCTGGCTACAGCTGCATTCTTCCACATAGACGTAGGTGTGTGGTACTGTATCTCCATTTAGACATTTCAGGGTCACTGTTCTGTTACTGGTGCGAGCTGCCTGACAGCAGCTACAGGACGAAGAGCCCAGCTCAGAGTACCTGGAACATACACAGACAGTGTGTGCATTGGTGTCAAATAGCAAACTGTAGAGACAGTAAACATATTCACTGCCACAAACTCCAAACTACAAGTATAGAACATTGCTACCATTAAAATTACCAACAATTTATCCTGTTTTATATTTTTACTGTAGTATATTCCTAAAACAATCATAGTCATTACTTAATACTGATTGAGAAACTTTATTTAAACCACTAAATACAGAGTTAAATACACATACAACCACAGTTAAAGAGTGTAGGTCGTGTTCTGTGATGAACTGACATGAGTAGCAAATTTATCATTGCCAATGCATTTTTCCTTAAATTACACTCAACAATCAGATCAAATGACAATCTGATTATTACAGCACAACACTTTTTTTAAAGTCTGGCGAGTGATGCTCTGACATCTCTGATAGTTTCTCATCTGAGCCCTTATCTGTTTTGTTCATGTACAATGTGCGTTTCTCATACTCCATCACCCACAGTCTGATCAGATTACTTCTCAGGAAGTGAAAAACAAACTTGAGTGCAACAGAATTACTGGTGTTTACAGAGTTTATGAGGATCCTGCATCATAGCCTTACACAGCCGTTCACCTCCAAAACAGCGACAACCCATATTTTATATGGGTAAACCATATTTTATATAATTGAGTATATATACTCACTTGCTGTAGCTGTTGCAATCTCCTGCACAGTGTGTCTGTTCCACTTGGGTCTCTGACTGACAGCTGTCATGAATGATGTAATCAGAAATAGTCTCTACTTTACATCCCTTCTCCTTCTCCACACCTGAAAACGCACACACAAAACGCTGGGGTTCAGAGCTTTGAAGTTCATAAAAAAAAAGACCATGATTTATTAACAAGTAACACCTCCTGAAAGTAATACATACTGTATCTGTAATATGAGTATAACAGTTTACTCACCTCATACAATCAGTTGAGTAAACTACTGTACTCATTACATACACGCACACAGAGTTGTATGCAAAAGTTTGAAAACTCTTGGTCAAATGACATATTGTGCTGATTTTCTGAGTGAAAATAATTACCGCTACTCTACAGGCACCTTAAATATGGCATTTTTATGCAAATCTTACTGCAGTATTTATTTGATGAGTTTAATATTTTTGAAAAAATATAAAATGTGCTTTAACTTGCACAGGCCATATTTCATGTTTTTTTTTCAGCAAATAAACAGTAATTGTGCACTAAAATGTGCAAAAGTGTTCTCTGTGTAGAATTAGTTAACTTACTTTCACTTAAATATAATCGAAATGTAATTTGACCAGGGTGCCCAAACCTTTTGCATATGACTGTAATAACATATTACTATTACTTAGATAAAGATACATTACTGAAAAGTAATACTTACAAACTTGGCAGCAGCCATCAGCAGAAAGCTGCACTGTGCCCTGCAGATTAGAGATCAGACTCAAGAAGCTGCAAAAAGCTTCACTGAAAAACTATAAATTAAAACTGAACTAGAACTATTGATATTTACTTGTTACTTATTTGCCATTTGATATTTACTGCTTGCATGTGTATATGTAGCTATGTGCTTGTGTGCATGTGTGTAATATTTACAGGCTGGCAGTTGTCGATGTTGAATGGAGGACACTGGATCTTGTAGTTAGTAGTAATATATTCTCCACCAATGTATGTGCAGGTGAACCTGTCACAGCTGTGTGTGCTCGGGGCCCATTCTGCTCCACTCTACTCAGAAACGAAGAACAGTGCAGTTAAGGCCTTCAGCACTAGATCACCACAAAAGCTACTAACCTCGGCTCCACATACTCATATCCCTGAGAAAGAGAGAGAGAGGAAAAGAGAGAGAGAGAGAGAGAGAGAGAGAGAGAGAGAGAGAAAGAGAGAGAGAGAGAAAAGCATAGAATAAAGAGTCTGTCTAAGCAGCAAAGTTTTGTTTTTTGGTGTGTCATAGAATAATTTATGACATACACTGTATGTATTTTTTGTTCTGTATTTTATTTCACTTCAACTGACTTGAATAATAGGGAATATTTGGATCCTCGTTGTAAAAATAATAACAGTAAAGATACTTTCCTTAAAGCTGCACTGAAAGAGTATTCAAAGAGAAATCTTGGTGAAGGACATGTCTCAAAAGCATTTGAGGCCACAAACATCAAGCCGGACCTTCTTTTTGGGTCTGTGCGTTTGATGTTAATGCAATTAACATCATTAATCTTAATGTTAATGCATTACTGTGTAAGAATGTATGACGTGGTCAAAAATTCTTGCGAAATCCAACCTGACACCTCTGACTTTGAAATGATAATTTAGGCTTTACAGGGCGATTCACTGCAACACACACCATATTTTAGTGTTTTTCCTTCCTGACTCATTAATGTTAGTGCTTTCAATTTTAACAAGAAAATCTTACATAGTTTAGCTTAAAGTCTAAAATATGGTAAATTATGGTGTAGAACACAAGTATTAGTGCATGATCAGACATGTAGTTCAGTTTTTGCAGTCAAGCCAATCAATATACCTTTCTTAAGTATGTAAAAACAACTTAATCGATCATTGCTGTGCTTAGCCAGTGTTTATCCAGTATTGTGTATATTCAGTACTGGATTTGTGCTCTCAGTATTGATCTTTTAAAGTAGCCCACAGGGCTCTATTTAGTTTTGCCAACTTCTTGGCATGTAGTGTATATCTTCATCTCTGCCTGTTCTGCAGACCAGACCAGAAATAAACCACTGTTTATTTGAATTTTCAAACACAGTAGCAGGTCACATTATGGAAGTATATCTAGGAATAGACTGAACTGGACACTGTATTTTACACATTCATGTTTTATAAAATGAGCAATGGCACAGATTTTGATAGGGCTAAATGGAGTGTGGGTCCAATATAAAGAAAAGCAATACTCACTGGCTCACAGGTCTCATCACAAGTCGCAAATCCACACCGGATCTGGAACAGTTGTGACTTCGGATCCACATCCCAGGTACACTGACACTCCTGGCAGTCCACCACAGGGACTGAGGTACCAGGCTGGAAGGGAGAGTTTTACAGTTCAATGCAGTTCAGTACAGTACAATCGCTAAAACACACTTTCTGGAGTAATATCTAATTTTTTCACAACCTTAAACACAAATCCAAAAACTAAATTCACCAAAATGCATCTTTTTCTGGTAAAAGCAAACAACTGAGTCAAAAGCGTGTTAACTTTGCTCATAAAACAGCACAAATTTCAAAACAAACACAAATCCATCAAATCCACGTGTGTTGAATGGCAGTGCTTTCTGGTTGACTGCGTTAGGCTAACAGCACTTTGTAATGAAACATGTGTTTACTGTTACACAAAAAGAGTTTAGGGGATCTGTGATATGTGTTTCAGGAGATTACTGCCTAAACTCCTAGCAAAACAGTTTTCTTTTTCATAATACAAGAAAAGTTTTGGGCAATTGAGTTTAGCGTATCTGTTTTTGTGTGGTTTCCAAAAGGAAATTTTGCACTTATATTTACCTCGTACTCCATGTTTTTGTGCACACAGACTTTCTTTGGCTCTGTGAGAAGAAGATAGAAAATTCTATGAGATACACAACACAAACTATCAGGAACATAAAATATCAACAGTAATATCAATATCAGGTCAAAGGAAACTGAGTAATACTGATATTTGTCATAGATATGAATACCGCATGTGAGTTTGGGGCAGCATTGTCCTTCAGGCACTTGGAGTACAGGAGCATAACCGATGTTACACTTCCCATCTACACTGGGACAGAAGTTGCTGTCACAGCCTACAACAGACAGTAGAAGGCAATAAATGGCGCCACTGAGATTTTGGGAACATGACATAAATGAGTTAAGTGCAATTACACACTGTCTGGCAGTTTTCTATTAAGCTTTTCAGCAAATGCAAATCAGCAATACCCATTAGAGCAGTATCCTATAGTAGGATACACAGGGCTAAATTTGCAGAGCCTGTTTATATTGTTTTTATAGTTGCTGGGACAATAATACAATAATCACAATTAATCACAAAACAGCTGAAAAATAACAAAAGTATGCAATCTTACGGCAGGCGAGTATAGTGCAGCACTCATCTGAGGGGTCTGTCTCATTAACCACAATGAAGCCAGATTCACTGCAGGTTATTTGGTCATTATTTGAGCACTGCTTTGGTTTGCAGATCACAGATGTAGTTAATGCATCACAAACACAGTCCTGGCAGCCGAGCTGGAACTTCTCTCCAGGCTGATGTTGAAAATAGGAGAGCACGTTTATGATACTGGTTGGTTGCAGAGATACTAGAAATCCAGAGACCTCAGTCAGTAGCATTAAAAGTCCATGCAGTGTAAGGATTTTATCAGTAACATCAAGTTATCAATTACTCTATATTTCCCATAACACTATATTTACTCAATCGTCCGTTCTTCCAGACAGTTTGGAATGCTTATAAATGCAAATAAATCCATTCGTCTCTGAATTATCTATGTCTGTCTTAAATCTTTCTATTTGCCATTTCGTTAGCTACTAGCTAGGTGGGACTGTTGTCGTTGCTATGGTGACTAGCAGTCTGCGGGCCAATCTTCGGGGTTAAAGTTTGGTGAACTAACAAATATAGGCTACATTAACTCCAGCATTTAAGACCATTTATTGTTAGACTGTGTTAAAACGATGAGCAGAGCTTTATTTTACTGCAAAGGAGGATCATTTTATTTTTACCTAAAAATCTAATTCTGCTGTGGAGCTGCAACAGGGCAGTGAAAGAGTCGCATATTGCCGACACCTGGTGTACATGCCATGTTCATAGATTACATAAAATGTTCTTACTTACCATTTTTTACAGTCTTAAAAAAACAGTATCCATTGATAATTGCTAACTGAGAAATGTATCACCCCATGTGTATGAAAAGACAACATATCAAATGTTGAAACTGAGAAATTTTATTGTTTTTAGAAAAATATATGCCCATTTTGAATTTTATGCCAACAACAAGTCCCAAAAAAGTTGGGATCATACCTCCTAAGGTATGATTTTGTGCTCACAGGATGGCCTGAGCACAGACCATGTTGTGGTCACAAACATCCTCCATCATGCCTGCAAAAGCTATTGTCAGGATGCTTATGAAAACTACAGATTTCGTTCTTCTTTATTCCCTTTTTTGTTATAAAAGTCTTTTATTTTGCAGCTTGTCGTCGTGGCAGCCGTCTTCTCTTCCAGAATATAGAGAGAAAGTGTTGATGTGTCCAAACAGCTCACAGGGTAGCGTCAGGGGACCTAGATAGGCTTTAATGTCAGTTCGTCGACCACCATTCAGGAACCCGTCTGATGTCCTGTTCCTTCGTCACAGTGTCAGGTCTGCTCTGGGCATATCCTAAAACAAAACACATAGACATAGCAGAAGTATCATATTCTTAGGACACAACCCATGTCGTATGCCCTTGTATAAAGGTTTGGTTTAGCCCTTGTAATGGATACCTTCTTTCCCTACCTAACCTGGGTCCTGGCCTCTGCTGGGAGTAGGGGAGCGCTAGTCGCAAAGGGGAACTAGGAAGATCTTCACTCCTGAGGTTGACCCCCATGACCTAAACATCATAGTTCCTCCTCAGAGCATCTCCCAACCAGAGTCACCCATTTTATCCCTAAACTAGCCATCACCATCAGGTGGTGGCTCCACCTTGGTATGGCTCACAAGTATCCATTTTGCGTTTCCTTGGCATTTTAGAGCAGAGGGTGTAGTAAGGAGGACCTGATATGGACCTTCCCACTTTGGCTCTAATGGCTGAGTGTTATGCACCTTAACCATTACCCACATACCTGAAACGATAGGATGACCCCCCTTAGTAGGTTCTTTCCATGCATCCAAAACACTTCTGAGTAGCGGCAACAGCCTCAGATAATGTCTGGCAGTATTGCAGCGGACTATCAGACATAACATGTATGTCTGCTGCTCTTAAATCAATAGTTCCTGGAAGTGACATAGAACGACCAGTAATAATCTCATATGGTGACAGCTGGGTACTTCTGTTAGTTGAAGCTCTGATGCTGCAAAGTACAGCTGGTAAAGCTTCCACCCATGAAACCCCTTCATGATGTAACTTGGTCAGTCTGGACTTTAAAGTTCTGTTCATCCTATCAACCTGACCTGATGCTTGAGGTCGATAGGGACAGTGGAGATGCCACTTTATCTCCAACAACATTGCTACTTCTTGACAAACCTTCCCAGTAAAGTGAGTTCCTTGATCACTCTCAATAACCCTTGGGAGACCCCACCTTGGGATAAAATCTTTCACCAGACATTTAGCGGTATGCAGGCCAGTGCCTTTAGTAGTGGCATATCCCTCAATCCACCTTGAGATCTTGCAAATTATTATCAAACAGTCCTGTTTTCCCTAGCATCTTGGCAAAGTGATGTAATCTACCTGCAATTCTTGAAACAGCCCACTCGGTGGTGTTACAGTTTGGTAGGGGAGGGAGACTGCAAGTCCTGGATTTGCCTTAAGACAGGTGGTGCAAGCTAGACAATGGCTCTCCGCATACTTGCAGAATTTAGGATTCCACCATACTTGGTTGAAGCGGTGTACAAGCCAGTTACCCCGCCTTTGTGCTGTCACTGAAAGAATCTTGTCCTTTTAAGAGCAAAGAGGATACTCAGTGTGGACATTTCAATGAGAACTTGATCCAAAACAATTGGAGCAACAGCTAAAACCCCACAAATAGTTTGCCTGGGTTGCTGTCAGG